CAAATCAAGACAAAGCTGCTGCAGAAATTTAGGAAGGAAAATTAAAAGTTGTAGGACCTTTAAAATACAGGCAGTGTACTTAAGCATTAAAGGAAATGGAAATGTTGATCAACAGTGTCCAGACTTTCCTCAATAGGCTCAAATAAGCATAGTGGTGAGGAAAATTGCAAAACCTTTGGAATTTCCTGTATTCCTCCACAATGTGATCTGATCTTCATCTTTGTCATACTAAATAAATAGACCAAAATACTTTTAAACCAATGTGCAGAACTGAACAATAGCTAGAGGAAATGTTTGGTTGAAGTCAATGCTAAAGGAGTTTCCACCAGTTACTAAAATCTAAAGGTTCACACATTTCTTCCAGCATAGACAGTGAATTTGTAAACAATGTGTTCAATATAGACAAGATTGCGTGTTATTTGTTTAATCAGATTATGTTTATCTATTATGATATAGATTAAGATCAGATCACACTTCTGATACAATAAATGTAGGAATACAAATTATTCCACAGGATTCACAAACTCTCTCACAACTGTAGCAGTGCTGCCACCCTTATCAAAAGATCATCTGGATGAATTCCTGACACATCCACTTCCTCTTCTGCTTGTCAAGAGTTTCTAGATACCGATGATAATGTATCGCTGTTGTTGTGTCCAAGTTCATCCATAAACAGTGCTGCAACATGTTAGAATGACAAGGCAGGCCACAAAAGCACTAGATATTGTCTATCCACACAAGTATACTGCATACCGAACACTGTCTTTAAGCTTAAGAAAGCAGGGGAATAATAGTGAGCAATTTCTTGATTTGTAAACTCAGATGTTTTCTTTCTTGCTCTTTGTGCTCCAGGCATCTTTGCTTTGACAATGGGAGATGTTCTGTGTGTTCTTTTCTTTCCTTGAAGAAATGCTTTAAAAATAGTCAGGTGTTTTGAAGATTAATTATTTAAAATGGGAATTGTTACTGTGCTCTTATAGCTCATTTGAACAGGATACAAAATACCTTGAAATCTGATTTGACACTTTACAATATGTCAACGTTATGTCAGTGCTCATTCAGTGATTCTATTGTCCATTTTTGACACGATTAAGTGTGTGGTTATTTCAGATATTACTAATGGCACCAACATGGTAAAATATTCAAAAACACTACAAAAGCTAATTCAGTGTGATTCTAATAGAAGCAGCTATAACTATTCCTTGGTTCAGTAAATGTACACCAATAAAACAAGATGGACTGAATTTCCTGCTCTCATTTGTGGCCATCCTCAATAGATGGACATCAGCAAGTCTATGTTTCTTTTATACATACTATACACAGCTCAAAATGACAAAAAGGCATAACAACTCAATAAATCAAATATAAGCCAACAGAGTATACATTATTATGCTCATTTTCTATTTGATTTATTTTTACAGTGACCTTATCACAGACAGCTTTCAGTTATTTACACAGACTATACAATAAATCAAATGGATGTAACACCACGTATCATAGTGCGTCAAGGGTAACCAGGCACTAGCTATTTTCTAGCAAGTATTTGTGACAAATTAAATCTGGTCTAGAAAAGATTAGCAACTAAAACAGTCACATTCCAATCAGCTGAAAACATCTACAACTTATTGCTCAACAAGAGATATCTGCACACAACCAAACTCTTTATATCCAGGTGATTCAAGTCAAATTTAACAGAGCAGTCAATCTAATATTCAGGTTTAAACTATCTTTACAACTCATGTATTTTTTTAAAAGATTTTTAATACAATTTTTTGAGGAAGTAGCAGTGTTATTGGAAATTCTGCAAGCATGGCCATTTTCATTTCTTGTAGCTGATTCTACTAAATTCAAAATAAACAGATTTTCTACATTCCTACAATATAATCCCAAGAACTTTATTACAGTACACTATGCTGTTCAAACCTGTCATGAGCAGTGTTTTCCACAGTAATCTAAAACTCATTGGGGCAGCAGAAAATAGGTATTACCAGGCAAGCTTTCCCCTGCTGATTAAGCAGACGCTGCTATTGCCCCTTCTTTGTTTCACTAGGACAGCTTATTGCATAATGCAATCTGTCAGTAGCTAGGATCTGGTAGCTGATTGGGCAAAAGGCAAAGTTCAATGCACTACTATAGCACTCTTGACCCCTAGCAAGGATTTAATCAGAACTGGGATGTTATATAGCTTCAAATAAACTATAACAATTCAACTTTGTTTTTCACCTGCATGTTGTATCCATTTATCCACTTGTTCCTGTAAAAGGTAAAGTCAATCCACAGCCTATTCTGTTAGATTCAAGACAGCACCACATCCAGATTGACAAGCCATTCACTTGACACACAAACACACGCGCACACAGACAAATTACCTTAACCAACACGTTCTTTTTCTATATGGGAGTAAAATTGACTACCTAGAGCACAGCCTCAGAAACCAAATGGGAAACACACAAACTCCACATAGAAGGTACCACAAATGATGCAAGAACTGAGAGGTGTGAGGAAGTGGTGCTAACTGATATATCACTAAGCTGGTAATATATTAAGGTTGTGTGGAATCCATTTCTGCTTCTGTGTGTGAACATCACTCCACATTGAGGCTGCCCTCTGCAGCAGTCCCACAAATTAATGAATAACATGGAATTCTTAACGATTTCTCTCCCAGACAGACTTTTTGGGTCATCATTCAGTGAATACAGAGGGTAAGAAAGTTTAATGAGCTCAAGCCACTGTAAGCCCTGAAAGACCATCATTTCTCCATCATTTACCCATTAAAATTAATTACACCAGTGCTCCTATAAAACTGCCATCCTTGAAAATTTGTGTCACTCTGCAAGCTTAGTCTAAAGCTCGACCACCAACAGTACAGGCTGTATGTTAAACCTGCTTATCCATTATCCATTTGTGGAGAATTTTCTTTCCTTTAACTACTTCCCAATTAAAATGGGACTCAAAATGCTCCACAAGCTCCATTATTTGGGCACAAAAAGAAAATTACCTAATTTAAATTTATTACAGATTTTTATATTCTCACAACTTTAATTTCAGGACTAAAGCTTATAATGAACTGCATATCTTGCAAAAGAATTGAATTCCTCAGCTCATGTGAACAGGGTTTGTACAGAGGTGCAAACCTTCACTCACACCTTTTTAGGTATACTATATACACTGTACCGTCATTTTATGATTCACAATTTCTATTTTTATATGCAATAGCCAATGCCAACAGGCTTATATAGTTCTCTGCCTGCTATAGAAAATAAACTGAAAATGTGAAAATAAACTGGTTTCACAAATTGCATAATGTGATGCTCACAAGTATAACATAAATACTACATTTTCACCAAAAAGACTGAAATATTTATTCTTCCCTACTATTGAAACGGAATAAGTTTCCAGACTGTGACTCACAACTCACATACTGTATATGAAGAGCTGTTAGTGCTCTCAAGTACAAAAATCATTGAGAAATGTCCAGAATAATGAGTAGAAAATGGTTGGTATTAAGTTACTGTATTTTATTATGGGACTCTACTTGTACTACCTTTAACTTTCATTAAGGACAGAACACTATTATTATTCAACCCTTGGATTACCATACCAGAAAGGTTATTTCTGTGTTTATGTCATTCTTATTCATGCTAGTGGATTCTTTTTATATATGTTTGTATAAAGTCTATAGTCATGCAGTCAAGAATTAATGAAATACCAAAACACACTGCTGACACCACTACAGCACGCTCAAGCATGGGACAGCTCATTTACCTGAATTTAAATATAGACCCAAATCTAGGCAGAATAAGAAAACACAATTCCCCTCACACTTCTAAAAATGGATAGTAAGAAGTCTTGAAAACAAATTATTTCTTAATGTCTGGACTTCAGGGTTTATAAAACAATGTTGTGAAGTACACAGGACTGGATTATTATAGTTGGTTATAGTTATAAATGGCACACAAACAGGCATAAAATACATAATGCAGCTTTACTGTTTCTGCAATTAAAAGTTTGCATCTCACAAAAATCCAAAGATTACTCAGAAGTTACTTTCAAAACAAAATTATACTGAATTCAAAACGATAAACTATAACTGTCTCTTTGATAGAATTGTGCATATCCCAGCAGCTTTTTGCTTTTTCTGACTTTGTGTCTCATGAACGTCTGTAGAAAAACAGCCAATATGAATTATGCTTACATATTCAAAACGTTATCTGGTTGTATGTTCAAAGATAAGGTTGATTAGGTTGAATGTACAATGAAATTCTCTAGGGGGTAAACGTAGATTCAAATAATAAATCCATAAATAAGCGCATAAATAAACGTCAGGCCATTTTTAGAAACAGCCATCTCCTTTGTAGCTCTGCACTCCAGCGCATCGCGTGTTGCTGTGGGTGTGATGTAATGCTCGAGCTAACCAGATTGAACTGGCCGTGCTTCGCGACAGCTCAAGGCTGAACTTTACACTCTAATTGCTGTCCTATTAGCATGGATAGAACACAGCAGGAGATTAGAGCTCCTAGTCGGGTTTCACAAAAACAACTCCAAATATGTTCAAAGGAACATTTCACAAGACGAAACACCCCAGCAATGTCCACTGAGGGGTATTACATATACATTGATGCAAGAGGGCTGAGACACTTAAGAAGAAAAAAGATCAAATCCAGAAAATTATTTCAACAAAGCACTACCCCTTTAACAGTGTTATTGAAAAAAACTAATTTTCACTTCCGAGCAACAGGGCGTAGTTGAAACTTGAGACAAACCTGAGCAAAAATAAGGGGAGGAGGGGGCACACAGCACAAGATAATCGTTCTTATTCGATGTGATTTACATAAATTTAAAAGCGGGTGCGAATATTTACAACCAGGGTTGTTCTTCGTCTAGAAACGCACTACATGATTAACTAAATGCAGATACGCCCGAGGAGAGAAGCGCGTTGTACAAAAGTATCAAAAACAGATGTGCCGTGATTATAGAATATGCAAAAGTACACAACTCACAAACAGGATCGTCCATTTTCAGATTTCTTTGCAAACGGATGCTGGCTGGAACAGTTCTGTCAATCAATTCATCAATACTCTGAAAACAAAACATGAAAGTTTTAAGTGTATACACACAATACGATTTAAGGTACAATATGTGCACGGTGAAGAAACCATAAAAATGCCACCCATGTCCTATTTTTCCCCATTAAGGTGCTCGTTTTATTGTGCACTCTTAACAGTTTCAATATGCATATTTTTATATAGAGTTACTGTGTAATAATCCGCTCAGACAACGATTACGAACAACGCATCTCTCCAGTGGTATTTTTATACCATGTTTATCGTCAACCATACCTCAAACTCCAAAATGCCAAGCATCTCTCGTTTCTCTTTGTCACCTGGTCCGATATGCCTCTCGGAGAAGTCGTCATGTCGGGGCAGTATTTTCTCTATCTGCCTGGATGAAGAAAAAACTGCAGAGCTTCTTAATCCCCGGACAGTAACAAGCATCATGTTTTGATATCTCTGTGCAATTGATTTCCTTTGCTGTTTCCCCATTAAAACGCGGCTTTGACTACACAGCTTGCTGCAAGGAGGCTGTAAGCTTACAGACCTAGAGAAGAAACCCCATGATTTTACACAACTTTGCATTTTCAGTCTAACTTTATAAAACTTTTAAAGAACAGAAATATGAGTTAACAAAATAAGCCTCCTGCTTGTCTACTGCATGTATTGTTCCTCAGGTGATGAAGAACTCTCCGGAGGTACCCTTCTAAAGTACTTAAAAAGTGCCTGTTCAACACGCCTCCTGCTTATTAAGAGAACTAACCAATCGATACGAGAAAGCTCACTGACGCAGAGACAAGCCCCCGTCAACAGCTGCTCTGAACTTTCTCACGTGCTTCCTTACAGAGCCTGAGCAACAGCAAAAGCTGAAGCAAACAAAACAAGCATCTGCCATTATATCGGAAATGTGTACGCTGTCATTGTATTAATATCCCAGATATTGATATTTTTCCAGTCGTAAAACATAAACATACAGTATTAATACACGTACCAGACACCAGCCGTTTATTCGTTTTTAATATTGTAGTTTTTTATTTTTAAATTAATATTTAAAGAGATATGTGAATAACTTAATAGCTGTATGCACTTATGACAATTTTGATTTTTACAAAACATTTAAATTATTTTACTTCAATAATTTGAGCAAGTCTAGTTTTTCCAGTTATAAGAAAATGAATTAAGAACATAAGATAAGTGTAAGATGGGGAACTGTGTGAGATTTGAGATGCAAGCTCCACAGAGGTAATAATAATAATAACAACAACAACAACATCACTTTATTAACCCTTTACAATTTCTTGCATTAGGAATGATCTTCTCACATACCTGAGCTTGCTCTCCATGAGACACAGAGAGGGAGAGAGCATAGGGTCTGCCATTGTACAGTGCCCCTGGAGCAGTTAGGATTAAGGGCCTTGCTCAGGAGCCCAATGGAGTAGGACTCTGCCAGCTGCAGGATTTGAACCAGCAACCTTCTAGCCACAGGTGTAGATCCTTAGCCACAGAGCCACCACTTCACCCCAAAGGGACAAAGACTGAAATTGTGCACTCCATACTTTGACTGCCCCTGAAAGAATCTGTCCCTTTGATAGTAATTCCTAATGTTTGATCAGCAAGTGTAGTTTGTTTAAAAAAACTGCAAGTCCTCTTGTAAAGAATGTGGAGTGCTGGAATGCTCAGTGAGGCTTGTCATGTTTGTTCATGTGGTTGTTCGTACATCAAAGGTAGTCTTCCATCACCTGGTGGTTGTTAATGGTTAGTGGCTACCATCACCAATCTAATCTATTTTGAAAGACTGTAGAATGATGTTAGCCACCCTGGGATACTGGTTAAGTAAAGTTAGTCAGGTCCCATTAGGGTGGACTCTATAAGCTATGTTGTTACAATTAAGGATCTTCCACAAGTTATGCAGGTACTTTAAATTACTGTAAAGAACTTTTAAATGCATCCTGATTTCAGTTCAACCGTCCATGGTAATATATTTAAGTGGTTGCTTAACTTTCTTCCTTAGTACATCATTTAAATTTGAGATTCTTTTGCAGTGTCTTGTACTTGTTTATACAGAAATTATACTAGACATGATTCAAGCCACTTCCGTATATTTTCTAGATCCTTTTTGTGGTCTGGGCCTTTACTTCCCCAATTAGTTTAGTAAAATCTGCATATTGTTTCATTTAGTTTAAAATCCTTCATATTATGGGCAGCAAATGGCTTTACAAAGTATTATTTGTGACATTCAATTGATCTAGTAGTAGTAGAAGTTGTTTTCAAGCAGGTTAGCAGTACAAACCTGGACTGCACAATTTTGGTACAAGGCCCCCATTCTGTCCATTCTGAAAGCACATTTGCTGCACATTTCCAAATCTTGTTAAGTAAATCTGCAAAATTATAGGGTTTGGCCCTCCGTAAATATGATTAGGGTCCTCTAATTTATGAGATATGATAAGTAATATCTATAGACCTCTATAAAGAGTGACTAAACTAAAGAGAGCTAAAACTGCCAAGAATACCCCCATATTTGGTCAGTAAGGGTGTGCCAGGATTTCTCTTGTAGAAACTGAACTGCCTCCTCTGACATTTGTTCTCTCGAGTACAATGAAGACTAGGCCCTTCCCCTAGAACGTTTGCATTCTGGATGCTGACTAAAATTTCTCCAACCTCCCAAACTAATTCTGAACCACCCACCTCTGTTGTTCACCAATATTTCATCAAGCCCTGTATGGATTCAAACATTTTGAAAACTCCCCACGGATGCTTCCAGCCTAAATGTATAGAAGCTATGTCCATAAACCAAATAAAATAAACCAGTCTCTCCTGGTAGGAAAGAACACCTTTTCATTTCTACTATTCATGAAGAGGCTTCACAAATTCAAATGACATCAGACTCTCCCCCCCATAAAGATGGACCTGAAAGATTCAAAAGGGAACTAAGCACAAGGAAATTTATGAATGAGAATGGGAGACACTACTTTATTCCAATACAGTACATTGTGTATGACACTGGAAGAGGGTAGTTTTTGGGGTCCTTCATACTGCTTAATCAGTAAGTATAAGATAAAGAGCATCATGTTTGTCTGTTACCCATTTCATAGTTGTAGGGATGGATTTAATCCAAAACCTGAGCTTTGTGACTTCATGTCAGCTTGCTGATTGCCATAAGTGTACTGTATCTGTTTGATGGAACACTATATCAAGTTCACTACATCAAGTTCAGAGACTTTGAGTGGTAGGTGGTAAATAACATAGATATTCAATTCAGGCGTCCGGATGTGTCATTCTTCATCCAGTTAAGAGAAATTCTGATCTCGGTTTGTGAAGTGGAATTTCCTGTATGGGTGTGTAAAGGGCGGTGGCACAATGGTGCATTTGTTAGCATTGCTGCCTCTCAGCACAGGGCCCAGGGTTCAATTCAGGACCTGGAGTGCTATCTGGGAGGAGTTGGTATATTCTCCCTGTGCTTGCTTGAGTTTCCTCCAGGTGTTCTGGTCTCCTCCCATAGCCCGAAGACATACTGGTAGGTTCAGGTAGGTAGCTGCGTCAGCATGCATAAGCTGCAAAGGAACAGGTAAAGGTTTCATGCTGAAAGGAAAGGGAAGGAGACACAAAGTTTCAGCCATGGAGTCTTCTTCAGGTGCCAGGGAGAGAATAAAACCAGCAGATAAGGAAGGTTAGGGGAAAATTGACCCTAGATGTGAGTGTGTGTGTCTGTCTAGCCTATGATGAACTGGTGTATCATCTGGGGTACATCCTGCCTTTCGCCCATTGCTGGCCAGGATAGGCTCTGCGGCCCTGAATTGGATTACGCTGTTAGAAAATGGATGGATGGATGGTTATGTAAATAATTCTTATGAAACACAAAGGTGAATATTAGATTCTGCAAGACATGAAGAAATTATGCCATCTAGTGGTTTGTTTGAATGCATAAAAAGCAACTAAATTGAGAGACTAGTTGCATGCCTACTTAAGCGAGTTAAAATAATCTTAACTATCTTATATTGCAGAACTGCTTGCTGAACCTAACATTCTTCAGGAATGTTTCTTCATTTCTTATAGGTGGCATCAATGTATCTAAAATGTTCCTCAAAACCCAACATGCAAATATTTATCAAAATAATCCTTATACTTATATAGTGTTTTTCTGGACTCTCCACTCAAAGTGCTTGACAGGTAATGGGGATCCCCTCCACCACCACCAAGGTGCAGCACCCACCTGGATGATGCAACAGCAGCCATAGTGCGCCAGTACGCTCATCACACATCAGCTATCAGTGGGAAGGAGAACAGAGCTAATTTTAGATGAAGATTATTAGGAGGCCATGACTGGTAAACACCAGGGAGAAATTTGGCCAGGACACTGGGCTAACACCCCTACTTTTCCCGAGAAATGCCGGATTTTAATGATCATGGAGAGTCAGAACCTCGGTTTCACGTTTCATCCAAAGGACAGAACTTCTTTTACAGTATAGTGTCCCCATGACTATACTGGGGTATTAGGAACTACATAAACCACAGGGTGAGCGCCCCCCGATGGCTCCACTCCTCTTCCAGCGGCAACCTTAGCTTTCCCATGATGTCTCCCATCCAGGTACTATCTAGGCTCACATACTAGTGTGTTGCATTAAAATACGACTGTATCCGTGACTGCTATTTATGTCTTTACAACCTATGTTGTGGCAATACGACCCACGATATACCACTCAGAGATGATGCTCTCCATGTAATAAAAATAAAACTGGTTGTGACTCACTCACCCGTGCACTATATTGCAGAATACGGATCAGGTTCAGCAATGCAACTACAGGGAACAGTTAGCTTTCTATCTCTTTGTAAATGGGAGGTAGATCCATCCATCATCATAATGCCATTTATTCCTCATGAGATTTGTGGAAGGATGGCTTGGTGGTGCAGTGGTTAGCATCGATGCCTCTGACCTGGGTGCAATTCCTGGAGTCTACCTGCTTAGAGTTTGTATGGTCTTCCCATGTGTGCGTTGTTTTCCTCCTACAGTCCAAAGACATGCTGGTAGGTAATGGCTTATAAAATAAAATGAGCCTTGGTTGAATGTGTGCTTGCCTGGCATCTCATCTTAGGTATCCTGCTTTGCAGCTCTGTATTGGGTAAAGCAGTTAGACAATGCATGGATGGATGGAATGGCAGTCTTGTGTATTAGTACACATGCTGAATAGAGCAGCAATTTATTACAGGGCATGCACACTGGGACAACTTGGTGATACTACTTTAACTAGCCAGCAAATCTTTCGGAGGTAGAAAGAAAGGTACACAGGGAGAACATGCAAACTCCAAACAGAAGGAATTATAAAGTAGACTTGGACTCAAGAACCATGTGACATCCACTAACTAGCATGCCATCATAATAGCCTAAGAGAGACTGTATAAAACAAAACCCATTTTTTTTTCAAAGAGAAAAAGATTCTTTAAGCCTCCTTGTAAATCCAGTTACTTGAACCGGTTTCCCATTTTTTCCTACCACCCATACTCACATTGCTTTAAAACATGAGTATGTATTCTAGGCCTCAGGAGAGAGGTTATTGTTTTTACCTTTATATTGTACAGTGTGTGACAGAGTGCTTGTTATTTTTCTTTCTTTTACAATGTGAAATTTCCCTCTACCCTTCTGGTATGTTTGAGAGTGTGTATGTGATACGAATGAAGTGTGAATGATACTTACCCTTTTTGTTGCTCCCCTAAAATCACTGCAGTGTTCCCTGTTGGAGTATTGTGTTGTGTTGTGTTGAACAACATGGCCACCACTCACTTTCTGTTTGTAGTTTGTAGTTCCCCACACTGCCACATCAGCGGTACTAAAAACACTGCTGATCTTAAAGGGAAAGGTTTCTAGTAGGCCATCTATAAATAACTAATGTATGATTATTTGTTTGGTTTAAAGGTATAAAAGCTGTTGCATGACTTTGTTAAACTTTACAGGTTACTCTGGATTTGTATTAAGTACTTTATTTGTTTAATATTTGTCCACCAGATATGAGATATTAAAAGTCCCATTAAGAGAGAATGGCCCTGGTATAGGAGGGGCTATAAAAGGGACTGGGAGAGCTCAGTATGGAAGAGGGTGCCTTGGAGAAAAGGTGTGGAGAGTACTCCTGTGAGGGTTTTTTTTTTGTTATCCCTATTTTGATGGCAATAAATGCAGTTTTGTTTGCATTTGAAGACTGCTTTGTAGGAGTTTCTTTTCTTTTGAGCCAAACCTGGTCACTTGGATGGTGACACAGTGGCTATCAAAAGCATTCACTCCCTTGGACTTTGACATTTTATTGTGTTATGATATGGAATCGTATATTTAACTGGGAGTTTTTGTTATTGGTTGACAAAGAACATTCTTTATTGTCAAAGTGAAAATGAAATTCTACAGATACTCCCAAATTAACTTTGAGACAATATTTGGCAGAAATTACAGCCATAAGTCTTCTTTAATAAGCTTCTAATAGCTTTGCACATTTTTGTTTAACAAATTGCTTAAACTCCCTCAGGTTGGATGGCCACAGATTCAAGACTGGATTGAGGTGCAGTCTTTGACTGGGCCATTCCAGAACTTTTTTCTTTTTAAACCACTTCATCATGGCTTTGGGTCACTGTCTTGCTGGAAGATGATTCCTCTCCAATGTCCCATGTCTCTTGGAGACTGCAACAGATTTTCCTTCAGGATTTCTCTGTACTTTCCACTCCATTTTATCGTCTATCTTCAGTCTTCCAGGCCCTAATGCAACGAAGCTTCCCCATTGCATGATAGTTCCACCACCATGTTTCACAGTAGGGATGGTGTTCTCAGGACGATGTTCACTGTTACACTTGTGCCTAGCACAGCATGTACCATTGAGGCCAAAAAGTCAATTTTGGTCTCAGCAGACCATAGAAGTTTCTTCCACTTGGTTTCAGTCTCCACACACCTCCTGGAAAAGTGTAGTCGAGATTTGATGTTTTTTGTCACTCTCCCATGAAACCTAATTCTGTAAGCCACCAAGACAATTGTCATATGGATGTACAATTTTCTCCCATCTCAGCCATGTACTTTGCTGCATCAATTTTTCCTTCTAGCTGTACAAGTCTACCAGGCTTGGGTCTTGGTGGCCTCCCTGACTTGTGCACATCTTGCTTGGAAACTCGGCATTTGAGGACACTGTTCTTCACAGGTGTGCCATATTTCATAGTTTCTTTATAATTGACTACACTTTGGGCGATATGTAATGCCTTGGAAATTTTCTTATACCCTTTCTGATTGATACAATAACCCTATCCCAAAATTCATTTGAAAGTCCATTTGTCTTCATGATGTAGTGTTTGTTGGGAGCTGTACTAGTCATCTGTGGGATCTCCTCATGTGAAACAACCTAATTGCACACAGGTGGCCTCCATTCAACAAATTATGACTTCTAAAGACATTTGGTTGCACCAGGGCTTACTTAGGTGTGCCATAGTAAAGGGAATGAATACTTACACATTCATTTAGTTTTATATTTTTAATTTAGGAAGATCTGTAGAATTGTTTCACTTTGATGTTATTGAGAGCAGAAAATCCCACATACACTGTGATTCTATATTTTAATGCAGAAAAATGTTAAAAAGTACAAAAGGAGAATACTTTTGATAGCAACTGTATAGAGGTCAGAACAAATAGGTGCAAAAGTACAAGTGGAGGTTAATTCTACATATGTTGGTTGTGGAAACTAAGTCAGGTGTATGATGGGAAAGATTAGAAATAAGTGGTAATGTGGAGTGGAGGGGGAGAAAGAAAATGTGAATGAGCATATTAATTAAAACCCAACACAAGGGAGTATTTGGGCATCAAATACCCAGGAAAATGGAAGGCAGCAATCTGTAAATGAATGGAGAGATTAGAACTAGATTAATTGTTGAGTACTGAAAGAGTATGGACCAACTTCAAGGATATTTGAATATCTGTTGTCCTTCATAGCCAAAACACTTGTTCTCCTTTCTAGTGTGAAATTAATCTCTACTTGTTCATACTTATTACTTGTACTTATTAGAACAGTTTTCAGAAATGTATTGATACATTTCAGTTTTGGATAATAACCAAGGGTTGGCAGACAAGCAAATAAGCAATTCACAATTTTAAAACTTTTATTATCACAGAAGCACAATAATAAAGGTACCACTATGCCGGTGAATCCTGAATACCTGTCAAACTAATAAAATAAAATAAAATAAAAACAAGGAATGCCAGATATATTCAATTTGAGTGCAGCATGGAGCAAAATCCTAAAGGTTGGCAACACTATGCATCACATTGTTCACCAAAGACAAAACAAAAGAGGAAAACTTTGGGATCATTGTGCCTCTCACAAATGTTCATTCCTTATAAGGCTTACTAGCAAAAAGAAAGATAAGAAGCCAAATCTTTTTCACGTACAGTACATGTTTTCATTCAAACAATGATACTTCCTTTTCAGCTGACCACTTATTTCTTAGGACTGCTCATATGAGAGTAAACAGTGAGGTGATTAAAAAAAAAAGATCTAGAGCACTGAATTACCAGTAACCATACAAGATATTTCAGCTTCTAAATCCTCAGTGCGTGCTTTAAACCAAAATCTATATTCATTATGGGGCAAAACTTGCATTTTTCAATTTGAAAGCCAATAAGAACTAAGAAATGTAACATGCAAATATAAACCAATAGACATGTTGTACATTCAACATAATAGCATCAACCTTCGGTCTGATTTTATTAAATCACAATAAGCTTGTGAAAATTCCCCAAAACGGACAGCTGTTTTGAAAGTACTGATTTATTTAAGGTTTATCAACCAAGCTCACAACAAAAAAACATTGTGACACAACATAATCTAAAACAATAACAAGAAGCATCTTTAGAACACAAAAGCACAGAAGGCAATAAGCACTTGAGTCACATAAAACATCATGGATTGGTTGCTTCATTCTTCATCAGATGAGTCTCTGTCAAAGGTGTATGCCATGAAGAACACATCTTGTCTAGGGGGGATGAGGGCATGGCCTGGTTTCACAACCTCAAAGCCCAGAAAGCTGAAGGTTCGCAGCAGCTTAGCTACAGACAAATAAAATCTATTAAGGCACTGATTTTGCATGGATGTTAAATCAAAGCAGATCTTTCACTGCTTTTTGCCAACTGTAACCAAATCTCACTACAGATAAAGACTGCAGCAAAACTGGTAAACTTTTTAAGAGTTGATACATGCCAGCACAAGCACAGCTACAAGTATCAGCGTAAAGATTGTGGAAAAGGCCCAACAGCAAAGACATTTACAATCAGCTTGTATAATGGTAGTCTGCTCTTGTAAACAGCCTTCATCATGAAGCAGCATGAACCATTTTCAAATCTCTTTCTGCCTTAGGGTTACATTTTACTCAGCACTTTTTAAATTGCACACAGTAATAAATTGCAACACTTCTAAAAAAGGAAGAAATCATATAGAACCTAATACAACAAAATTGCTTATACAATCTTTTTTATTTGGCATCCTGAAAGATTCATGCAGCATAAGACTTAACTGAATAGTTTTTATGCAGTAATCATTCATTACTTTTATATTTTATGGGTCAGCTGCCCAAAATGTAAACAGAAATTCTCAATTTCTCTGTAGAAAGGAGTTAAAATGTAATATTTTTAACAATGTCAGAATATTATTCGGTAATCCCCACAAATTTAAAATTATTTTTAAGATAAGCCACTGAAAACACAGCAAAAACGTAATAAACTTTTAAGTCTATTTAAAATATTAAATCTTTAATTAAATAAAATTTCAAACCATGCTGAGACTGATGCATTCTGTGCTTTTCTCTTTCTAAAAAAACTAATTTAATGACAAATTGAAACAAACAACTAGCTGAATATGAAAAAGTCCTTGTATTAGTTTGTGAATAAACATCATAGTCATACAAGGACATTGCAGCACAGTTTCAGTACATACCTCTATCTTCTCTGTTCTTGTAAAAGCAAAGGAAAACCTTGACAACTTTCAAATGTTCTTCAGCGTACTCTAAGAGGGCCACAAAGCTGTTCATCAGATAAAAAATAGAAAGCAGTGAAATACAATGTGTTCCGAGAGGTCCTTAGCACAGATAAAGTTTGTATAATGTTAAGCATGAGGTGGAACTCTGAGGACTAGGAATACAGTCACAAGATACTCCATTGTTCTTTCATTTCTCACTATGCATATAAACTGCCCACTTGCAAGACTAATGCAGCCTTAACAGTTCAAACTAAAAGGTCAATCTGAAAACTAGAAGAAAACTGTTTCAAAGGTTGTTTTGAAAGCTTTTTTTCTTGAATAGGTAGCTAAATGCAAAATAATAAACAAAACAGCAATTTAGAACCACACTGTAACAGAACAGGCAAAAGCAAAATGAATTTACAGTATGAGATTTCTTATAGAATGCCTTTAAGATAATCTCAAAGCATTAAAAAAAAACTTATATTAGCTAGTTAAATTTCTTTAAACTTATTTCGAAGTATAAACTACAGAACACACAGAGTAATGGTAAGACAGGCTTGTACAATAGCTTTTTAAAATTTTTGTTTGTACTCCAGGCTTGCTGGACTCACCTTTCCTTGCTGCCTTCAGGTAGCACATCCCAGGGGATTTCTACGTACAAGTTGTTGCCGTTCAGCACTGCGTCCCACTGGATAACCTTGGAGTGGGTAGGTTTGCTCTGGAAATGGAGGAGCCCTGGTCGTCCATTTACAGCGGGCTCTTCTGTAACAGTGAGCTTCCCATCCTGGGAATGAAAAACATGTAATGATATACAAAAATATTTCAAGTATAAGTATAAGATTTTTTACTTTCCAATTATTATCACAACAATATATGATATGTGTCGCATCCTGTCATACCAATCTATTCTTAGTACCCCAGCATTCACGTTTGCACACACTTCCATCTACAGAGGACATAATATAACATTTTTCAGATATAAAACATCCTTACATTCCCACTGTGTAAGCAACCTACATCGACACACGATTCAGCAGAGTAGTCGGTACATAGTGCTCTCCAAGACGTGCCGGACCCAAAGTGTTCAAACTTGGTTCCAAGTTGAAATACAAAGCCACTTTAATAGCGGACAGCATGCATCCCAAAAGGCAAAAACAAAGGCTGCCAGTAAACCCTAGATGTTGTTTAATACCACTGAGTATGGCCCCATCTTGAAACATTCTAGAAGGCCAGTATAATTTATACTAAAAAAGGAGGAGAGGATTGCAGAGTAGCTCAATAAGTAAAAGAGCTTGGTCTGTGGCCATCCATGTCATTTGCTGACTGTGACAAGGATTCCTGCAGTTCTGGCCTCACACAAATAATGGAGTGCCACTGGATCATGCTGGGATAGCTCAGCCTGGGGTCCCTAGCTTTATGCTACTCCAGTTAGCACTGTAAAACTTACTGTGCACCAAATGATGAATGGCACTGCAGGTAGGTTGGACAGGCATTACAGCCAGAAAGCCCAGCTATTTTATATTCAAGTTTGTAAACTGTAATCTGCAATTTCAAATGAAAAAAAGGAAAAGGAGAACTTCCGGAAATTCCTCTGAAAGTGCAATTTTTACAGTATTGAGATGTAATTTAAAACTCTGCATTCCATTCGCTTTTTCTAGAATCACTCACAGACAAATGCTAGAACGCTAAAAAAGTCAAAATAAACTAATGGTTTAATCCAGTTTCCTATATGGTAAACTTAGCAGAAAATGCAAAGATAAAATCATCCCAAAAAGACACAGACTAACAAGGGATGCAGCTGTGCAAAGATAAGGGAGGGAAAGCAGAGCCTATAATTGTTGAAATAGTGTAAGACCAAGGGAAGAGTGGGTGTAATAAAAGTTCTTAGTTAGAAGGGAGTTTTGTAAAAGATAAAGCATCACAAAGCGTAATTTCCAAAGCTTGTTTAGACATGCATCTCATGCAATCAAAATGAAATATTAAACACAATGAAAAGGTTCTCTTAAATCTACTCATATGTGAATTCAAGCATAAATGCCACAATTTTACCGCATAGTGCCCCAACTTTTGTAAGTGCTGATAACTGACTTCCACGTTTTGTCTGTCGCTGCCCTCCACCCAAAACCATGATTGCGGCAAATTTATAATTAACGAAACATGACTCCGAAATCCTCCAATTTTAAATGAGCTAATAGTCTTGAGATGTAAGCCATAATTCCTTCTCTTGTAGACAGAAACGTGTTCAGCATTCTTAGCCATAGCCAGCAGTAGAGTCGATGTCACGAGTTAGATACGGATTTCTGTGTCAGAACAGTTTTGTCCCAAGTGCTGCTTCCCAAGTACAGAAGATGTTCTTCACTGGAATAAGTCCCAGGGGTTTTAACCCCATGCTATTTACTATACTTTAAGTTCCCAGGAGTTTTTTTTCACCACATTGACAAAAATTCAATCCAGCTTTCACACTGGAACTAAATTAAACATTGAGGTTTGATTAAGGTACTAATAATTTATCCTCAAAGTTAAGGTACTAATAACTTATCCTCAAATCTCTGTCCCTTTCCTTCCAAAAATGTAGCCATCCGGGAGAAGATTTGCACTGAATTCTCCAGCAACAAAGCTAAGCACTTGAGAAAAAGAGAAAACAAAATGTGACTGCCCTCCCTCTTAGCAGCAAGCTGAATTGATAACTCAACCATTGAATCGTCTTACAATATCAGTATTGTTTGGCAGCCCTTACATGAGTACAGACACTATCCTTTCACAACTCATGAGGTCCATCTCACAGCTTTCTGTGAGTCACATGAAAGGATGTGGTAAAAGCAAGCAACTTACTTTCTTTTCATGATGCCTTCTCTGTGTACTAAATAATGAGCCACATTTGACAGAACAAAAGTAATGACCTAGTTTAACACTGAGACACTGAGGTTTTTTTTCTTGTGTCCCCCTCTGGAGGAAACTGCAGAAATTATCTGAAGACGTGTGTTATAGTTTTAAATATGAGTACTAACACTGAATTACTAGGGGGACTAGGGTTAAGCTGGCTTGTCTGGGTGAGGTATACTTAAATACTTCTGCCTCTGTTCCTGTGTGTGTCAGGAATAATTGAATCTTCTACATTTAAGGACATTGTGATTTTTGTCCTGTATCTTTTAGGTTGACTTATTCCAATAACCTTGCTTTTTAAAGAGGTTTATGGTATTATCTAGACATATAGTTCTTAGCAACAAAGGTTATGTTATTATACATCATTTATAAAAAACAATTAATGTTACATTTTTCTTTTTGGTAAGACAAACTATATTCTAGTAATACTACCTTCAATTCTTATATAATATAGCTATATATATATATTAGGCAGTCATTTTTTTATTATTACTACTTCATCCAAAGAAGCAACACTATGCTAAAATTAGATTCTATTCTATTCATAAAGCATAATTAACCTCTGGTAAGTGTTTATTTTACATACAGTATATTATTTACAGCCATTAACAGAGATTTCAGACAACAAAAGGAACATAAGAGCACTACAAGTAACACTGCATATGAGTTACCAGGAACTGAATTATGTGCTTAGCCTCCAATAAGGATAACCATATTTCCCAGATATTCACATGATTACTGAGGACTCTCCACAGATATTGCTCTATAATTATGGCTTCCAAATTTCATTAATTTGTTAACCAACCGTGTTGTATCAGGGTATTGGACTGGAGAAAAAATCTGAATATGTAAATTGCATTCTTCATTTTTTCCAATTAATTTTTCAAATTTTACGATACCAAGGAGAGACACACAAAAAACTAAATGCAAACCTTTAACAAATTTAAAACACATCTGATGCATGAGTTATGTCAGATCAATTTTGCTTTTGCTCTGTGGAGCAGCAAAAGTTTGAACTGGAAGGCTGCAGTTTCCAATCCTCGGTGGAGACTGCTGTTGTACCCTTGAGCAGGACACTTGTCAGATAGCCAAATATATCTCTATTTTATGGTATGTGCATTAACAAATATAAAGGATCACAGGCAGTAGGTTTTCAAATCTCTTAGGTCTGTGCAACTCTGTCTGCAACTGGCTGCTGGACTTTCTTATCGAGACACCACAGGTGGTGCGGATAGGCAATAAAACATCAACACCACTCACCCTGAGCACTGGAACCCCACAAGGCTGCTGTCTGAGTCCAAGATTGTACT